ATATGAGGTAACAATTGCTGTAATCTGGTGCTTTTTTAATCTTACTTTGAGCACATTCTGACTGTCTTCAAACGAGATTCCAGGGGAGACATTTGTTATTAGTTCTGGTTTTAAGGCAGTCAGAATGTTCTCAAATTACGACACATTTTGCCAAATTTGAGCAATTCTTGACTAATCCTTTTGCAGCGTATGTGTTGGTGCACACTGGGGAAGTCTGGCACAGTTTTTCCAATGTGGTTTTACTGCAAATGGCAAATTCATTCTTGCATCTTGTTATCCCTGCATTGTCTGTGTTTTGAACCGATTGATTCTCTGATCCGTGTTGGCAAATCGACAACACATCCTCCCAGATAACTACTGTTGTCACTCTGGCCTATACACAATAAAACCGGGAGATAAAAGCGAGTTAAAAGTGGCGTTTCTAACATGAGCAGCAGGACAGTGATGAGCTGTTGTGTCCGTGGGGGTTTTTCTTCTTTTTTGCTCATGACAGGGACCTCGTCTGCGTGACTACAGAGACTCGGGACCTCTCGCTGCTCCCACTTATCTTTTTACACTTAATTTGAGGATCCGGAGCGGAGCTTGTCACTGCTTGTGCGTGAAGTTTATCCAGCGACTGTGAGATGGGCTCTGACTGCGGCGCCGCTGTCACACCACGTCTCCCGGCTCGGCCCTCACAGGGTCAGAGCAGAGATGGGGCTGGATCTACCTTTTGTGATGCCTCGATGTCCGGGTTATTTATGGGTTTAATAGGCTGTGCTCATCGTGTGACATCATAATATTATAAAAAGTATAGTTTAGTATTGAAAGGGGGGGATGGGGAGTTGACAAATCTTTCCTAGTAACTGGTGCATAGGCCATGATTTCCAGCCTGCTTCCAGTTCCCTGCTGGGAGCCTATAAGACCACACCTTGACTCCACCTATCTCTCTCTCGCTCTGTCCCGGCCTAGACCACCAGGGTCTAGGCTCTGGGGGACTTCATCTCATTTCATCTCTCTAAAAATCAATCCAGTCTCTTGCTCTCATAACAGTCTGCATGCATTTTTGGTCAGTTTTTTCAGACAGAAAAGTGAAAAAAAGAGCACCACCCTCACTCGGCCTATCAGCTCTCAGCCTGGTGTCAAATAGTGACTCACAGGGCTCTTTCTTACACAAATGCAAAAGACATATGTCTTAATTTAGAGCTAATTTCTCGGTGATTCCTCGGCCAACACATGGAACAAAAACCGTCACAATGGGTTTCAACTTAAGGTAGTAGTTTTTTGACTCGACCAAAGACTTAAAGAGGTGGAGAAGAGGTTTATGACACAGATAATTATAGAATCACTGCAAAAGTAAATGAAAATGTGTTTATAAAGTATTTTGAACCAAACAGTTTGATGTGTAGAAAGTCATCTCTGTCTCTGGATCTACAGCCTCAGCCCTGGATCTACAGCCTCAGCCCTGGATCTACAGCCTCAGTCCTGGGTCTACAGCCTCAGTCCTGGATCTACAGCCTCAGTCCTAGATCTACAGCCTCAGCCCTGGATCTACAGCCTCAGCCCTGGATCTACAGCCTCAGTCCTGGGTCTACAGCCTCAGTCCTGGATCTACTGCTATTGTGATTTAAGGCTATCCAAAAACACATTAAAATAGATAAATATTTTTAAACAGCCTCAGTCCTGGATCTACAGCCTCAGTCCTGGATCTACAGCCTCATTCCTGACGGCCTCAGTCCTGGGTCTACGGCCTCAGTCCTGGGTCTACGGCCTCAGTCCTGGATTTACTGCTATTGTGATTTAAGGCTATACAAAAACACATTAAAATAGACAACCCCAACCAAAAAAACCGACAGTGAACGAATCCTGGAACGCAGCCAAGTACATCCTAACGTCTATAATGTTGTTTTCGATAAAGACATAGGGCGAGTGAGTCACCATGGAATATTTCTGATCATTCCCAGAGGCGGTCCCAGTACGGGCGGCGTCGTAATGACACATGCCAAGGATCAAGTCATGCAGACGGACAAAGCGGGCCGAGCGGACGCCCTCGTGGATGTGCGACCGTGCAGAACATGTACATAACTCAATATAACATCTTTTTGGCCCGAGGTGGTGAAGTGCCGCCTGTTCTCCTGGACTCAGTTAAGAGAGCGGTCATCACTGTCTGATTGTTCTTCCACTGCGCTGGCTCCGGCTATCTACTGATGATGACGCTGAAATGGGACCACTGTAAAGCTTTAAAGACCGACTATATGGATTAGAAAGAGTTTAGACTTGCTTATTTGTTATGCTAAAGCTAGAGATTTTATACAAGCATCAATGGTATTTTCTATAGATAGATGGATACTTTATTGATCCCCGTCGGAGAGATTCGGGTGTCCAGTAGCAGAAAAAATAAAAAATAAAATTGATCATTCAAAAAAGCTAACAGTTATTAAGCAGCATCAGTCCTTCAGGTCACAGCAGCAGAGGTGGAGTAGCCTCTGGGTGGAGCAGGACGGGTCAGAGCAGCAGAGGTGGAGTAGCCTCTGGGTGGAGCAGGACAGGTCACAAGGTGGAGTAGCCGCTTGGTTCGGGCCATTTCTCTGCTCTAGTCCAAAGTAAAATGCTAATTTGTTCATTAGCATTTTTCAAAAAGTTAGCATTCCTCCAATGGATTTTCATCTGATCCACTTGGTTCGGACCATGAATCCTCTCTGCTCTGGTCTGGACCAGTGTAAAACCATGAACACTGTACTGCAGCAACATCTCAGGGAGAAAAAAGCAAGACAAATAAAATGTATAAAGCACAAAACAACTGTTTCAGAGCTACTCAGGATCTGCTGCCGTTTTCCAGCGCATTCAAAAGTAAGAACTATATTTATTAGCTTGAGAATCCTGTGCCTGTACGAGTCCTTGAGAAAGTCTAAAAAAATATATAAATACAAAAATAATAAATGTAATTTCACTTGATAAATTACCCAAACTAATGTATGTGCAATACTTTTGTTTAAAAGACAGACAACTGAGTGTGATGTCATAGTGGTACAATGACATCATAGTATGACAGGACTGAGACTGGAGCTTTGGGACAGAAGAGGGGATGGAGCTAAACATAACTCCAGGTCTGTGACTGATGAGGAACAATGTAGTAACAGAAATAGGACATCATCTCATTTAAAGCTAAGCTCCCTAACTTTCAGACCAGAAATGTAGCTGAACACAGATCCATGTCCCTCGCTCTCAAACCACTTTGCTTCTATCACAAGTTTTCACATATTTGTATTATGAAGCTCAAGGCGCAAGTTCAGACTGAAAGACCGAGTGAAAATTCCCCCTTCCAAGCCTGCCAATCACACAGCCCGGCCAGCCTCGAGGCTCGGCCAATCACACAGCCCGGCCAGCCTCTGCCAATCACACAGCTCGGTCAGGATCCCGTTCCGGCTCCTGCTCCGCCTACGCCCCATTCACACCATGATTCTAGCCACCACCTGTGCTTGACCCCGGGGGATCTGAGATCATCTTCAGCTGCAATCGATCTCATCGCTGCAAGTGTCACTGCCGGGGTCAATGCGCCAAACAAATAAATCATTTTACTGTATTAATTGTGTCTTTGGTCTCTTCAGATTGAATTCAGCTTCTGTCACTTCTTTAGATCGGATTTTTGGCCAAAGAGTCAAATAGTGACTCACAGGGTTCTTTCTTTCAAGAGATAAAATATGTTTTCTACTTAGATGAAGACATCATTCTGTGGTTTGTTGTAACGTTATACATAAATCAATATTAAAGTTTAGAGATTAGGGCTTTAACAATAAATGCATTCAATATTCTTACAACAAAGTCTTTCTGTGGCCTCGCACCAAAGTTCTGGATCTGCATCTGTCCATAAATGTTGATTAAGTTCATAAATACTAGTTTTATTAGAGGACAATGACAAGAGGCCATGACAGACGATTGCACGGATATGTTAGCACGACAAAAACACAAAACAAGGACCAACATAAGATACAAAACACAAACAAAACAAAGGCTTTTTCACCTTCATCTAAAAACTAAAAATGTCTCTAACCCTCTTGCCCTGACCCTAATCAGAATATCTTTCCCAAACTCTGAGGAGCACAGGGACTGGCCTCCTGCTGGGACTCTGGGGAGCACAGGGACTGGCCTCCTGCTGGGACTCTGGGGAGCACAGGGACTGGCCTCCTGCTGGGACTCTGAGGAGCACAGGGACTGGCCTCCTGCTGGGACTCTGAGGAGCACAGGGACTGGCCTCCTGCTGGGACTCTGAGGAGCACAGGGACTGGCCTCCTGCTGGGACTCTGGGGAGCACAGGGACTGGTCTCCTGCTGGGACTCTGGGGAGCACAGGGACTGGTCTCCTGCTGGGACTCCGGGGAGCACAGGGACTGGCCTCCTGCTGGGACTCTGAGGAGCACAGGGACTGGCCTCCTGTTGGGACTCTGGGGAGCACAGGGACTGGCCTCCTGCTGGGACCCCCGGGAGCACAGGGACTGGCCTCCTGCTGGGACCCCCGGGAGCACATGAACTGGCCTCCTGCTGGTCCCAGAGTCAGGACTAAACATGAGGAGGCAGCGTTTCAGATGTATGCAGCTAAAATATGGAACAATCTTCCTGAAAATGTGAGACAGACTTCTTCTCTGACAATGATCAAATCCAGGTTAAAAACAGTTCTGTTTCGCTGCAACAACTGAAGGATTGTATCTTTGCTGTTTTTAATGCACTGTGATTATTTATGATATTAATGCCTTGTGTGCACTTTGAGTTGCCTGGTGTATGAACTGTGCTATACAATTAAACGTTGCCTTGCCATAACTGAAAAAAAACAAAAAAAAATCTCTCCGTTTCAGGTGCATGCAGGACTGGGACTGGGTCTGGAGTCTGCCCCTTCAGGCTGCACCACACAATCTCAGTCTCAACAACAAAAAGCACGGACTAAAAATAAAAGTTGCATCCACAAACAAAGAGACAAAGGACAGAGACAGTTTAACAGCGACGCAGAGACAGAGACAGTAAAGTTACCTCCAGACGCAGAGACGATCAGGAGAGACCACCAAAGAAGACCACAGAGACACAACTTCAGGCAGTTCCCCCCCAGAGACGCCATGGTCCCGCGGAGGAAGGAGAGGAGCGACAAGACCACGGCGCAGGTCCAGGTCCAGGTCCAGGTCCCGGTTACATATTCACAGGGTCCGCTGCTCTGTCCCGGGCTCCAGGCACGATCCAAGACATAATGTATGAGAGCAAGCGAGATCTGCCTCTCTGCACACCGAGACTTCACAGCGGAATGTGCAGAGAGAGAGGGAGAGAGAGAGAGACGGCCGCGCGTAAACTCCGCCTGTGCGCGTTCATGTGCGCGCGCCCCACACTGCTTATTATAGAGTTATGATTTCATGTTTGCCCCAGGCCTGTGTATTAGTGGGAGTTAAAGCTGGAGAACCTGACTTTATCATTTTGTTCTTATAAATGGATTGTGTTTGATTTGTAAAAAGAGTCTTCAGAAAGGTCTGTGTGAAAGGTTTATACTTTCACACCCACTCCTTTTCAAATGTGCTTAGAATTCATATGAAATAACGTGTTGTCTGTATATATATATTTGAAATAAATTAATTAATAAATATTGCTAGTACTTATTTAGCAGTAGAGCTCCTAGCATTCTGAAGCTACTAGAACTGCTCGCAACTTGTGAAAAATAACCCAAAAATGTTTTTCTTTTCACTACTTGAAAATTAAGCAATTTATATATATTTTCATCTTATCTTTTAATAAATGCTAAAACCTGATTATCATAACTTGAAATAGAATTTAATATATACAGTCTATGCTTGAAATACATGAAAAAACAGTTTGTTGAAAGGCTAATGCTAAAGACCGAAAGCTAACGGCCAGTAAACCGTGCGTTGCTATGGTAACTATGGTTCTGTCGCTAGCACTCGCTCGGCTCAGAACCAGAACCAGTCCAGGACCTGCTGCATGAGAAAAGAGACGTTAACTGCCATAGAAAGGATATTGCATTTGAATTTTCCATTGAAATGAATAGAGCAGTCAAAATGACTGTTCTGGGAGTTAAAGGTGGAACTATTCACATTTCACAGGGACTGGCCTCCTGCTAGTGCCAGAGTCAGGATTAAACATGGAAAAGTTTCAGATTTACTAAAATATTACATCTGGAAATACAGAAAAACTGTTCAGCTGCGATGTAAGAATTCACCGACAATAAAACAAACAGCACAATAATAATAATACTGCTTTTATTTAGCCGAGTGTTTGAATTAACATTATTAAAAAGGTTAGCTGAGTGGAGGAACAAGCTACGCTAACAATAGCCCATATGGAGGTATATAAAACAGATGAACATATGACAATAACATGATCATTATCGAAAAACAGCTGCAGTCCTTTGAGCTTTAACACTGAAGACGAGATCGGACACAAGCTAACTGCTCTCTGGTCTCTTGCTGGTTTCTCTCTCTCTGGTCTCTCTATCTGGTTTTTCTCTAGTCTCTCTCTGGCCTCTCTCTCTGGTCTCTCACTGGTCTTTCTCTTGTCTCTCTCTCTCTGGTATTTCTCTGGTCTCCCTCTTTGGTCTCTCTCTGGTCTTGCTTGTGTATCTTTCTGTTCTCTGGTCTCTCTCTTGTCTCTCTCTCTCTGGTCTCTCTCTGGTCTCTCTCTGGTCTCTCTCTGGTCTCTCTCTCTGGTCTCTCTCTTTGTTCTTTCTCTGGTCTCTTTCTGGTGGGAGTTATATGTTTTCAGTGTTTCATTAGTAGAATTTAAAGCTGGGGTTCCTAACTTATTGTCTCACTATCTTGCTGTTGGGAGTCTTGTAAAAGTAAAATACAGTTCAGACCATAGCATGCTTGCTCTGAATTGCAATTGCATACCTGCTCACATGCTCAGTGCTGATTGGCTGAGTGAGCATGGTCCTCTCTCAGCCCAAAAAATACATGCATTTTTGTATGTATGTGTTGTATGTATTATTTATATGTATCTTTAGTGATTGAACCAAACTGTATTGAGATCGTGGGACAAGAATCGCAATATATCGCAGAATCAAATCGCAAAACGGTCCTGGTTTTTGATTTCACCTCCAGGCCTTTCTGTGTGGAGTTTGCATGTTCTCCCCGTGTTTGCGTAGGTTCCCTCCGAGTGCTCCGGTTTCCCCTACCACTGAAAACATGTACAATAGGACTGGCATACACCTCCTGTTCGTTGACCTCGCTCCCATCTCTGTGCGGAGTGAGAGACAAATGCCTTCAACAATTGTAAAGTGCTTTGTGACTCCGGTCTGTGAAGGGCGCTATATAATTAAAGATTACTTACTTACAATACTCGCTGTATCGCAATAATATTGAATTGTGGCCCAAATATCGCAATACTATCAAATCGTCACATTTCTGCCTGTTCCATCCCTTATTAATTACATGGACTGTATTTTATTAAAGTTGGGTACCCCAGCTTTAACCCAGACATGTCTCGTGGTCCCAGTGTGGCCCCTCCCATCCCTAACGATGAGGTAATGTGTGACTAATAAATAAGAGAAGGCGGAGTGGTGTACTGGTGGCTTCGGTGGTCTTTAACACAGCTTGGCGTACTCCTGTTTGATGCAGGTGTAGATGCTGTGGTAGAAGGCTCTTTCCGGGGCCATGATGGCGGTGACCATTTCCGTGTGGTCCACTCCCGGCAGCAGGTACAGGGACACGGGCCGAGACAGCGCCGTCAAGAGCGCCGAGAACTTGGCGGAAGACGTGGACGGAACGATGATGTCGTTGGCGCCGTGAAGCAGCGCAAACGGAGGAAGTCTGCGACGAGAAGAGTAGAGTTACAGAGTGGAGGGGTGACGGGTCTGACACAGCAGCCACAGCCCTGTTTACACCGGTCCCATTTGGCCCTACTCAACTCGGCTCTACCTGGGAGCGTTTGCATTACGCTTTAGAATCTGGTACCTTGCAACCAACCCACAAGAAGATAAGAGAACTTTTATTTGTCCCACAGTGGGGAAATATCAATGTTATGTTTCTTAGCTAGCTGTAAATGCTTCAATATCAATATATATTCATCGATTTATATAAGTAACCGATATCCCTGGAAATTCCTTGGTAACCATGGCTTTCTACCGCCATAAGAGCAGTTTCTTCCCCTCTGCAATTGGACTTATGAACACACGGTCCCCTGCCCTTTATGACCGTCACTTTATGTCACTTTAACTGCACTGTTAAGTGTTTATTGTGTGTACCTAGTGCATTACAATGGTAATAAAACATATAATTCTGATTCTAAGATAAGATAAGATAAACCTTTATTAGTCTCACAGTGGAGAAATTTCAGTGTCATCGTTGCACATTACAGCAGAGAAAGGAAATAAGAGCACTCAAATTGCACACATCAAAGTCTATTATTTAAGATAATAGACAATAAATTTAAGATAAAATAAAATAAAATAAGAAAATCTGGGCTACAATTGCACTTGGTTCGGAGTATTTACAGATGTCTATATTATACATTAGCAGCGGAGAATATGAGAATATGAGCAGAATAAACATCAGAAATAATATCAACAGGTAAAGTGACTTGAATGGGAGAATTATCATCTGATTCTTATTCCAGGCGCACTCTGGCAAATCTCTGTCAATTGTAACACTTTAGAACCAGCTCAGGCTGATTAGAGCCAAGGGCTATGGGGAGTAAAAAAGTAGCTGGTACCAATTAAACAGGGCTGGTGGAAACACTCCCAATTGGGGTAGAATAGAGCCGAGAAGAGTGGATTAGTGCCAAGTAGGAAATGATGACTTAGCAAAAGGACTGCTATTATCTAAGTCATTGGGGGAAAGAAAGGGACTCACTAGCTGAGCCTCAGTCCTCGTTCTATAGCCTGGATCTACAATAACCTGTCCGCCCATGGGAGCGGATCCCTCTTTCAATGTGGGCCTCCCCGAGCTTTTTTGTTGTTGTTGTTCCTTACCGATGCAGTAGGGTGATGATCCAGGACATTTATTAACATTTATTACCATTGCTCCATTTCCATATGGCTGTTCAAACTGTTTGATTCTCTGATCTGTTGTTAAGACGAGTGCTGTTGTGTTTTCAGGCTGTACGCAAATAACTTCTGCCTTTGCCATTTGGACTGAACCCTGTACCTTCTGATTTGATCTTCTCCAAGCGTGTTGAGGACGTGCGTTGGTGAGTAGTATGGAAAGTTCTGGACCCCGTTCATGGCTTTGTGCATCGTGGAGACGTACTCGATCCCCCTCATCTCCTCGTGTTCGTAATGATCCGGGATGTTGTAGACTCCGCTGAGACCTGAGTGAAACCAGAGGAGAGAGGTAGAAATGTTTGCACGAGAACAAGGATTTAAACAATATACAGTACTGTAGGTTAAACTACTATAGATATTTCATGCGACTTTTTGTGCAAGATGGTAAAACTGAGCTGGTCATAACGACAGATGCCTCAGTCCTGCATCATGTGACCTCAGTCCTCGTTCTACAGTCTGAGTCCTGGATCTATAGCCTGTCTGTTCGGAGCATAGACTGTAGCCACACCTATCTCTGCCATTGAAACTAATGTGCCATCACTTTAGCCTTGTGTGGGCAGTTTCAAAATGGCCGTGGGCATGCATTAGCTAGCACCAGCCCCATTCATTTAACAAGTGCCTTCTGAAGTCCACAGCGGCTAAACTAGACTGGTCCAAAAATAAATACTCCCCTCAGCATTGACAGCACATGGAACCAAGAAAAACTTTTGGACCATCCTGTAAAGACGTTTTCGAGAGGCAAAAAGACACCATACAAAAGCATTGGATAATTCTGTTTCCGGGTACACCCCCACCGGCCGGGAGTGATATTGCAAGCATGTCAGCGCACGGCTCATGGACCTTTTGGAGCCGAGACCCGCCCCCACTGGTCCAGAGGAGTGGATCCCTCTTTCAATGTGGAAACTAATTGAGGTTTTCCCCCTGGGTTTTTTAATTAAGAGTCTAAAACCATGTGAACGCTGTGGAAAAACTCTGCTCGTGTTGTTCATGCTGCGTACCAACAAAAACACATTCTGCTTCTGCGTCTCCTGCTGAGACACGATCCCAGACTTTTTACCCACCAGTGGTGAATCGGCCTGTTGGGATGAAGAGGGAGCCCAGACATCACTCTTGCTTCTGAGGCATAAGGTCCTGGGTTCAAGATTTTGTTTATTTACCATTTGCATGATGTCCCTTAGCTATGGTCTGGAGCTTTGGAGCACAAATGGTAAATAACTCTTGAACTCAGGACACAGAAAAAAGTAAGATCTTGGTATGATTTATCCACTAAAAATAACGTATATTATGCTTATTTTTTAATGGCAAGTTTTTTTTTTTAATGTAGTTTGTCATAAGATTATTTTACTAGTTTTGAGATAATAATACCATAATCTTATTAGAGAAAAAAGTCTGAGCCGTTTTTAAGCTTGTTTTAGATATTAAAATTGAATAAGAATTGGATATTGTTATCCAATATTATAAGAAAACATGTCTTAAAATGTTTAAATACATTTGTGAATAATACTTGAAATTTATGTTTTTATTCTAGAATCAAGTCATTTGGGGCTAGGCTTGTTTTTTTATTTTCAGAAATCAAGTCATACTGTATTTTCTTGTTCTATTGGCATATTTTTTTTATTATTTTAAGTAGCATTTTACCTATTTTCGTATATTTTTTTCCACTGAGATCTTTTGGCAGAGAGGCCACCGTGCCCCACATTATACTGCAGTGTCTTTTATCTACAGGGAGACAGGTCAACACAAAAACACTGGTGATAGACTTACCTATGACTCCTTTTATAGACGCAGCAATGTCTTCCTGTTTGTTCCTCTCAATAAACAGTTCTTCTCTTGTGTCCAGCAGAAACAGTACGGTCAGCGTGCCCAGGTGAGCCCCCGCCGAGTGACCGATCAACACTATATTGTTCTGGGAAGACAATGGAGACCTCAATACCTCTGCTCTGTTAAGATCAATACTAAAACTACTACTACGGTCATTTCTGGACTAAAAGACGCTACAGAATTGGCCTTTGAGTTGGAAGATTGTGAGTTCGATCCCACCACGAGACCTTCTCCACCGACTCCCACTGATGTCTGCTGTCGTTGTGTGCTTACTTACCCCACTTTGCCTGAAGCCCCTCACTCACCATCTTTAGGAGGATCAGTGAGGGGCTGGTGCTATGTGTACTGGGTGCAGCTCTGACTGCGGAAGTGGAAGAAAATGGATTTATGGAAGATACTACAAACATGCAGTGAGATAATAAGAAGGGAGTGACATTTATATTTGCGGCAAATGATGGCTTTGGAAGTCAGAGTGTTAAATTGTGTTGTGCCCAAATAAAACAGTCTCTTTGCTGCATTACACCAGTGTTTTTCAACCACTGTGCCGCGGCAGCCTACATGTAGACAAGATGTATTTAATTTACAATGTTGCTGGTGAGGCTTATATACAGGTGCAGCCTACATGTGGACAAGATGTATTTAATTTACAATGTTGCTGGTGAGGCTTATATACAGGTGCAGCCTACATGTGGACAAGATGTATTTAATCTAAAATTTTTCTGGTAAAGCTTATATACAGGTCTGTCTTATAGTCCAGAAAGTACAGTATGTGTTATAAGTCGTTCTCACGTGATCAAAGTTGAATTTCCTGCCGCTCTCCTTTGCCCAGAGTAAACAGTCTGCGATGTCTTGGATCATCCCCAACACATTGCTCTGTATGGATCAATATACAGACTTATTACAAAAGCAGGAAACATGACCCAACACCAGATTCCCAGTGTGTGTTCGTACCATGGGGTAAGTGCTGTAGTCGGGGCAGACCACGGTGGCGTTCAGTTCTTTGGCCATGTTTCTGGCGAGTAAACAGTAAATGGCTCGGTCTCCGGAGCCCCAGGCCCCGCCGTAGATGAAGACCACCCCAGGGACTTTGGCCTTTTCCATCTTTGGGGAGTAGTATAAGTCCAGCTTGTTTCCTCTGCGCCCGAAAGAGATGCCCTGAACCGGGAACGCAGAAAACACATCACCAGGTCAATTATTACCTCATATTTTGTCATTTTTTGCAGTGTGTAGTGGGACGATAAGAAGGAAGCGACAAACATATACATTTATTATTGAGGTGAAATATGGAGCATAGATTCATAAATATTGCCGTTTTTTTGTTCGCATTAACAAGATAATGGTAAAAATCAGGAATGTCATGTGAAAATCTTAATTTCCGGGATAAATAAGAATATTGTTCAAAAGTTGCATTCACCTAATCTGTGTTTTGTCGTTATTTTTCGTATTTATTGTATATAATTATATTTGTTTGACTGGTTTGGTTGTGCGTTTGTTGATTTTTTTTATTATTTATCTTTTCAATCCTTTCTTAAGACACTCCTTTTCTCTTTGACTTTAACACCACGTCGCAAGAGACACATTTTAGTTTTTTATTTACATATTTATACTTTAGTATTTTTGTGTGTTTTTACTCTTGCTGTTTTTCACTTGTCTGTGCAGTCTGTGAAGTCACGGCTGTTTTAAATATGCTTTACAAATGAAGATTGATCGATTGATTAGTGTCTTTTCTGTTTTGAATTGGATTAATGAGTCTGCAATAAAGTGGAATAGTTATTTTGACAGAGATTCTTGTTGCGACCCGGCAACGGATGAAGCGGAAGAAAATGGATGAATGGATGGATGGATTCTTGTATTTCATCTTGTGTGGTATTTTGCTCTTATGGCTTGTTTAGAAAAAAGAAAATCTAAAATAAATATTCTAATTCATTTTTAGATGCTGCCTCCTGCCAATTTTACCTCCTTTCTCTTTGCAAGTCCAGTTTATAATTTGTTGTGATTATTTTTTCTTATCAAAGCCTCGATTAATTTTGACTTTATTGTTCCACATTTGTTTGAGTTTTTATTTGATTTTGCAATTGTGCCTGGACTCCCCTAGACTTAATTCTAAAAGCTAATTACTACAAAGAATTAATATAAACGCATCTGATGAGGATAAAAAAGCTAAAAAACAAAACAGCGGTCATTATGATGCACTGTCTCTTTTATTACATAAGGGTTTGAATTTTTGACCCCTTAAGAAACGAGATGCTGCTTCTCAAGGGCTTTCCTTAAATAAATCCTAAAGGTTACAGCAGGAAAAGAAAGAAAACTGGATGACGTTTAGCTGGCATCGCAATAGATGGAGGGGAAATGATGTTATTGCACAGCCTCAGTCCTGGGTCTACAGCCTCAGTCCTGGATCTACAGCCTCAGTCCTGGATCTACAGCCTCAGTCCTGGATCTACAGCCTCAGTCCTGGACCTACAGCCTCAGTCCTGGGTCTACAGCCTCAGTCCTGGATCTACAGCCTCAGTCCTGGGTCTACAGCCTCAGTCTTGGATCTACAGTCTCAGTCCTGGATCTACAGCCTCAGTCTTGGATCTACAGTCTCAGTCCTGGATCTACAGCCTCAGTCCTGGATCTACAGCCTCAGTCCTGGATCTACAGACCTCAGTCCTGGATCTACAGCCTCAGTCCTGGGTCTACAGCCTCAGTCCTGGATCTACAGTCTCAGTCCTGGATCTACAGCCTCAGTCCTGGATCTACAGACCTCAGTCCTGGGTCTACAGCCTCAGTCCTGGATCTACAGCCTCAGTCCTGGATCTACAGTCTCAGTCCTGGATCTACAGTCTCAGTCCTGGATCTACAGCAGATGCCCTATTTAAACAGTAAGTTATTCTCTCCATCTACAGTTCAACTCACCTTTTCATAATGTTTACTATTTTCCACATCTTTATACCAAGATTTCCACCTGAAGTAAAGCCTTCCGTACTGCAGGTATTTCAGCATCTCCAGCACCGCTCTGGCCAAGCTGTAGATACGTCTGTGGAAATGGAAACACAGCATATATTTATTTATATTTCAATACATCACATTGTACAATTACATTTTAAACAATTGTAGTCTTGCCCCTTTCTTAAACACATACAAAATAAAATAAAAACATATTTAAGATGGACTTCAGCACTCCTTCTTCAAACTTACTTATTTTTTTCTAAATTATATATACTTTTTTTTTTAGGCAAGATGAGGCTAGTTTATTTTATAGCACAATTCATACAAAAGGCAACTCAAAGTGCTGGAATATTGGACATAAAGAAGAAGAAAGAAGTTAGTCCCACGTCCTGCCTGAAAGCGGGCGCCAGATACAAACCTTGGCTTGAGGGCCTCTGTGTACTTCTTGTATCCGGGTTTATTGGGCCAGCCGTACAACCACTGCGCGGCCAGAGAGATGGAGTACGGCAGACCCACGAGCAAGACACCAGCGGCTACAGGCAGACTGATGGGAGAACGGAGCTGAGACCTGAGATTGAGAAACACACGCCACACACAAAACATATAGACACACGTTTTTCCATAGAAAGATATTCGTTAGCTAGGGCTGCCCCATGTCACACACTACAACGTGGCAACTTGCAAGTCTGAAAACATATGAAGACTTACATAGTGTGGCTTCATAAACACGGAAAACCTGCAGAAAACAAAACACAAAAACACATAAGATTTGTGTTGCCAGCATACAATAGATTTCAGGTGAAAAGTGGCCGCGTTAAAGGTAGAGCTCCTCACATAAAAAAAAAAACATAATGACATAGACAAAATGTATGCTGCTCTCTGATACGCTGGTGAGGTATTGGATATACTGTACCCGCTATCACTGTACATAAAATCCAAAAATAAATAAAAAGGGGTGAAAAAATAAAGTAGTAAAATTCATGGTATCGATAGGATTGTGTGGAAGTGTGTGTCTGATGCTGCTGTGACCCGTCCTGCTCCACCCAGAGGCTACTCCACCTCTGCTGCTGTAACCTGAAGGACTGTTTCTTTTTATTACTATTGTTAGCTTTTTAGAATGACCAATTTTATTTTTATTTTTGCTGCGACCGGACACCTGAACTTCTCCTACGGGGATCAACAAAGTATCCATCTATCTGCGGGCGCCGAACTTGCTGGTGCGAGTTGGCTACTGTGGTTCATTTTGTCACAAAGAAGGAAACAAATTCCACTGCACCTGGTAGTATATAATAATAATAATAATAATAAAATCTTTGTGACTTAACACAACCTAAAAATTATAATGATGACGATAGAGAAGATAGATAGTAATGATAATATACAACATAATGTATAATTGTTTGTTGTTGTTGTTGTTCATAAGTCTCACCCACTCCATTTCAGGTCTCTATAGCAATGAAATGGAAAATGTATATCTATATATGTATGTATATGTGTATGTATGTTCAAGGTGTGTATTTGAAAAGTCCACACTGAATCCTGTATGAACCTGACAAAAAATAAAAATGTTCATATAGCTAGTGACAGAAAAAGTCACATCATTATGAAGTCCACAAATGTACAGTACATACGCTGACTTTTTTACGCTTCCTAAACTAAAAGCCGTCAAATTGACTGCTCTGGGGAGTTCTAATGTAAAAGGCACGTTACTTTTTGTACAGTGCAGTAGCGCCCTCAAGTGTAGCTAGTGTAGCCTTCAAAACAAATCATATGTTTACCTAACTGTATTCTCTGTCTAGAAACACTAAAAATGGAACAATAGCTGCTTAACATTAGATTATAGGTAATTAACAAAGAAACAGTGTGTGGATCATACCCTGGCTCTGCACACGTGTAGCCCCAGTCCAAACAATAGCTTATTGTACTGAACACTTATTGTATTGTTGCTGGTTTTACAGTAGTCGTAATGCAAGATAATGTTTATATTTGTTAGGCGTGGGTGCATTTAGTTTGACGTTAAAATATAAAGGGGGAATGCCTTAGCAAATTCAACACTAATATTACTGTACATACTGTATATAAAATAATGTCTCCCATGCTAGCATCTTTTGTGCATTATCAGAAGCCGAAACACATCACAAGATCGCTTTACATACGGGGTATCAGTGTGTTTACTCACGATGTAGTGTGTCCTGGAGCTTGGGATGGCTGTGGACTGACGTATTATGGCTTTATTACACATGAAACATCAACCCATCAAACCAGATGCCCTTCATCAAAAGCCGGTGTCACCTGACCGCGATGCAGCTGAAAGCAAAACAGTCCTGTGACAACAACTTCCGGTTTCGTCTCGATTCTCACTTCCGGGATCAAAATAAGTTCAATTTAGAAATAATAATAATAAAAATAAATAATATAAAATAAGTTCAGTGTTCACTTTTTGGACTTTATGTGTCACATGTTATGTTTTATTAAATGTAATTGAATCAAAAATCAATTGAAACAAAAGTTGAAATAACGTAATGGGATGAAGCGGCTGGAACTGAAACAGTAAGCTAATGTTATGCTAACAGATGAAGTGAAGAGAAAATATTATGCATTATTTTTGGCACCGATCATGATAATAAGACTTTTACTTTGCCAGTTCATGTTTTAGAATGAGACTGCTACATTTCCTAGAATATGTCTGGTGCATAGACTGAAAATATTATCTGGTGTGTGCATGAATGGTTGGTGGTTGTGGGAGGAGCCGATGGCACATACTGGTTACCTCGCTTCTGTCAGTGAGCCCCAGGGCAGCTGTGGCTACTGTAATAGTTTATCATCACCATGTCTGGAGGGAATGAATAATAACACGTCTTTGTTTGTATGAAAAAGCACTATAGAAAAACATTATTATTAGACTGGGGCCCAGTCCCAATACCCACACTGCACCCTACACACCTCTACGAAGTGTGCATTTGTTCGAAGTGCACACCAGGGTTGGAGTGCGCAGGTTACAAGTGTGCAAAAAAGGCGGAATTGGGACAGTGCACACTGAGTGCAGGTTACGTCATCGACTCGTCTATAGATGGTCATTTTCAGACCTAAACTTTATAAACATTAAAGGTAATCTTGTCTGACCCTTTGGGAAACAAAATGAATTGCTTCACACACGTTAAAATACATGTATATTAGTTGTTTTTAATTAGAGATAGCTGTATAATTTTAAGTTAAATGTGGGTAACTAACTATCTGGTCAGTTTTTATACATTCTAAGATTATTGTACTAAGTGTAAAGTTTAAATTGAATGTTATATAAACGCTTGCTTTAAAAAGTTATTAAATTGTTAAAACACAATGTCCGTAATTCTTCTTCAGACGTTTATGCTTCTTTCCAAGTAACATTGCAAAACTTATTTACACACATACTGCATATATATTTCAAAATGTATATTTAAATGCATTTTCCCGACGTTTTGGTGTGTACCGCAAAGAATTATGGGCAATATCCTTCGCCAGAGTGCGCATAGATGCAGGCTACGGCGAAGTGTGGATCAGGGGCGCAAAGGGGGCGGGGCCAAAGACCTCCCTGGAGAATTGGGACACCCTACGCACTCGCACCCTTTATCGGGAACGCGCAAATGAGGGGCGCGAGGGTGGAAGTGCGAGTATTGGGACGGGGCCTGGAATTGCATTTAATAAACAAATAATCGGCCTTTTTTTTCAGCAGCATCACATTTAACTTCTTTAGGGTGGCAGTGACAGAATCCCTCCACTAGATGGCGTCAGAAGCTCACGTTTCAGACCATAACACCACACTGCGAAAATATTACACAATATCAAGTGAATTTTATTTATTTTTGAAGTTATGTGAACAAGTATTTGATGTTACAGATTGGAATACTGTGAATTCGTGATTTCTTTCTTGTATCCCATTTGAAAACATGTGATTTGTGTGAAGAGAGCCAGCAGCTTTTGGGGAAATGGGGATTCTTCACCTGTTTGTTACCATAGTGATAACGTAATAGCTATCACATGACTTGAAAATATTGTGTTTCACAAAGTGGCGAAATTGCAATATTGTACTAAAGACCATGCATTATGATTGCATTGTATTCCCAGGCCAATGTAGGGCTGCTTCTAACCCGCTGCTTACCCCTTGTCTGCTTACATACTTTCATCTAATCAAATATATTTGCATAAACCAAATAAGATAGAGGCAAGTTTATTTTATTATCAGCGCTGTTCATACAGAAGGCAACTCAAAGAGCCTACTAAGACAAGATAGAAACAATCATACAAAGCATTAATAATTACAGTAAATGAAAAAGAGAGAAGATGTAATCCTTCAGTCGTAGCAGCTAAACCTGGATTTTGACCTGGATTTGAACATGGTCAAAGAAGGAGCATGTCTCACATTTTCAGGAAGACTATTTCAGATTTTAGCTTCATAAATCTGGAATGCTGCCTCCTCATGTTTAGTCCTTACTCTGGGCACCAGCAGGAGGCCAGTCCCTGTGCTCCTCAGAGTCCCAGCAGGAGGCCGGTCCCTGTGCTCCTCAGAGTCCCAGCAGGAGGCCGGTCCCTGTGCTCCTCAGAGTCCCAGCAGGAGGCCGGTCCCTGTGCTCCTCAGAGTCCCAGCAGGAGGCCAGTCCCTGTGCTCCTCAGAGTCCCAGCAGGAGGTCAGTCCCTGTGCTCCTCAGAGTCTCAGCAGGAGGCCAGTCCCTGTGCTCCTTATATGGCAATCCAGCAGGAAAGAGCTTGAACTCTTCTCTTATCTAAACTAAAACATAAATAAATGTGTCTAAACGCTGTGTAATTACGCCTGTATAGTGAACATAACCTGTAATTATTCAATAACACTCTAAATATCCGTGCTGAGGCTTCACGCAGTTTAACAGTATTCATTTCTGTCTCATTTTTCAATAGTCGACTAAAATAAATTGCCGGCAGTGTTTCCCGTGCTCCAACAGCAACATTTACACATTACCTGTGGTTTATACAGAACACACGTCTCTATTAAAGCACCAATAAATCATTCTGTGTTAGTTCATTGTGGTCCGTCTCCTCCTGTGGAAACTTGGACCGAGGCGTCTGCAGATCCACCGAAACCTGCGAGTGTGGACCGTGAGTCTGAAACCATCGAGAACTGTGGATATTGCACGGAATATTAAAGACCAGAAACTTATTTTTGGTTAAAAATGTCAAAAAAAATACTGTGTTTTTTTTAGACATTTTTGTCACTCCACACAGAGATAAGAGCAAAGGTCGCCAGTGCAGGAGACTCATGTCAGACCTGTTGTACATGTTTTTAGTGGAAACCGGAGCACCTGGAGGAAACATGCAAACTCCACTCAGAAAGGCCCCATTCCGACCAGGATTTGAACCCAGGACCTTCTTGCTGAGAATCGAGAGGGCTATGTGTTCAACCACCGTGCCACTCATATACTTTGTATATCTTACTGTCCCTTGGTCTCACCTCTGGTCTCTCCCCGGTCTCTCCCCTGCTTTCTCCCCTGGTCTCTCCCCTGCTCTCTCCCCTGCTTTCTCCCCTGGTCTCTCGCCTGCGCTCTCCCCTGCTCTCTCTCCCTGGTCTCTCTCCTGCTCGCTCCCCTGCTTTCTCCCCTGATCTCTCCTGGTCTCTCCCTTGGTCTTTCCCCTGGTCTCTCTCCTGCTCTCTCCCCTGCTCTCTCCCCTGCTCTCTCCCCTGCTCTCTCCCCTGTTCTCTCCCCTAGTCTCTCCCCTAGTCTCTCCCCTGGTCTCTCCCCTGGTCTCTCTCCTGCTCTCTCCCCTGCTCTCTCCTCTGCTCTGTCCCCTGCTCTCTCCCCTAGTCTCTCCCCTGCTCTCTCTCCCTGGTCTCTCTCCTGCTCTCTCCCCTGCTTTCTCCCCTGATCTCTCCTGGTCTCTCCCTTGGTCTCTCCCCTGGTCTCTCTCCTGCTCTCTCCCCTGCTCTCTCCCCTGCTCTCTCCCCTAGTCTCTCCCCTGGTCTCTCCCCGGTCTCTCCCCTGGTCTCTCCCCTGCTCTCTCCCCTGCTCTCTCCCCTAGTCTCTCCCCTGGTCTCTCCCCTGGTCTCTCCCCTTGTCTCTCCCCTGCTCTCTCCCCTGCTCTCTCCCCTAGTCTCTCCCCTGGTCTCTCCCCTGGTCTCTCCCCTGGTCTCTCCCCTAGTCTCTCCCCTAGTCTCTCCCCTGCTCTCTCCCCTGGTCTCTCCCCTGCTCTCTCCCCTGCTCTCTCCCCTGGTCTCTCCCCTGCTCTCTCCCTGGTCTCTCTCCTGCTCTCTCCCCTGCTTTCTCCCCTGATCTCTCCTGGTCTCTCCCTTAGTCTCTCCCCTGGTCTCTCTCCTGCTCTCTCCCCTGTTCTCTCCCCTAGTCTCTCTCCTAGTCTCTCTCCTAGTCTCTCCCCTGGTCTCTCCCCTGGTCTCTCCCCTGGTCTCTTTCTTGCTCTCTCCCCTGCTCTCTCCTCTGCTCTGTCCCCTGCTCTCTCCCTTGGTCTCTCCCCTGGTCTCTCTCCTGCTCTCTCCCCTGTTCTCTCCCCTAGTCTCTCTCCTAGTCTCTCCCCTGGTCTCTCCCCTAGTCTCTCCCCTAGTCTCTCCCCTGCTCTCTCCCCTGGTCTCTCCCCTGCTCTCTCCCCTCGTCTCTCCCCTAGTCTCTCCCCTAGTCTCTCCCCTGCTCTCTCCCCTAGTCTCTCCCCTGCTCTCTCCCCTGGTCTCTCCCCTGGTCTCTCCCCTAGTCTCTCCCCTAGTCTCTCTCCCCTAGTCTCTCCCCTGCTCTCTCCCCTAGTCTCTCCCCTGCTCTCTCCCCTGGTCTCTCCCCTGGTCTCTCCCCTGCTCTCTCCCCTGCTCTCTCCCCTGCTCTCTCCCCTGCTCTCTCCCCTGCTCTCTCCCCTAGTCTCTCCCCTGCTCTCTCCCCTGCTCTCTCCCCTGCTCTCTCCCCTAGTCTCTCCCCTGCTCTCTCCCCTAGTCTCTCCCCTGGTCTCTCCCCTGCTCTCTCCCCTGGTCTCTCCCCTAGTCTCTACCCTGCTCTCTCTCCTCCTGTTGTATTTGGCCTTGAGTGCGAGCAGAACCAGGTGCAGTTTCCCGACGCCGCAGCGGAGAAGCCGAGGCCAAGTCAGGACGCTCTGAGGCCCAAGAACACACGGTCAGCCGGGTCCAGACACATGTGTGGGGGTTCTATTCCCGTTTGAGAAATTATTGCACTTTGGGGATTTTGTGAATGAATGGAGGTATTCAGACACAGAGGATAATCACGCTAAAGACCCAAGCTT